GGCGAAGTCCGCGGGAGCCCCTGCGGAGAAAGGCAGCGTTAACCTGCGGCGGATGCACCCTGAGAGATGCTCTGGGGGTGGCATCGCTCCTGCTGAGCTGCCCGAGAGTCCCAGAGGCTGCGTACAGACACTGGGACAAACAAACATCTGAGGACTGGAAAGATGATGCACAAGTTGGTCTCCAAAGACATGGGGTTTCCAGTACAGCTGTGCTGGAAGGACCCAAATGTTCCTCTTCACAGAGGAGGAAAAGGGTCAACGCTGCTTCTCCAAGGGAAAAGGAGAAGCGGAGAAGTAGGAAAAATATATAGACTGAGTTTGAATTTCCATTCCCTGGACTAGGTGCCAGGGCAAGGCCGTAATCTCCACGAGGGTTTGTTTTGGTTTGGGTTTTTTTTTCCAGCAACATCTGCACAGGAAAAACATATTAGAGAAATTATAAACGACATCAGGAAAACACCAGCTAGAGAAATCTCTACAGAAACAGAGGGAACGAAACAACGATCTGACCTTTGGGAAGTCTCTGGGGATACCAAAATATGAATCAGGGGTTCAGCTCGTACAAGCACTTATTTACTCAGCCACCAACCCGTAAAAGAGGAGAAGCCACAGAAAACTTCAAGTCCCGCTGAGTCACTGAGATCTTTGCTTAAAGCACAGATCCTGCAACAATCACGGGCTCAGCAAAAGCGAAAACACAAACTCCACCGTCCAGAAGAGAGCTAAGAGGAGTCGGGGGTGAAATCCCTGAGCTGGACTCGGGATGTAAGTCCAAACCCTGGAAGCCACCCTATGGAATTCCTTGGGACAGATCAAGATCCAGACTAAGCCACTGTATCCCACGCTTGGTTCTGCCACCAAAGCCACATCTGGTTTCACGCATCTCTCCCAGCTGTGAGAACATCAGCCTGAAGCCACCGCGGAGCAACTGTCACCGAAAGCTGAGGTTCCCCCGGCTCGGGTTCTCCTCCGGCCCGCAGGAAGGCAGGGAACCAGCGCTGATTTATGGGGTCGCTTTGCTGATGCCTCAGGACCTTCCCCTGTCCCAGCAGCCCCACTCACACCTCACTGGAATTGCTGCGTGCTCAGGAAAGGGTGTGAGTCTTGAGCGGAGCGAGAGAAGGGCCACGGAAAGGAGAGTGAAGGTGCCCTGCGAGCGGTGCCAGGGCTGCCCGCGCCTTCCCGGGAGAGCCGGGCATTTCCCAGGCCTGGCTGTCCCCGTGCCGTGCGCCTGGATCTGTGTTACTGGGTCCCCTCCCCTGCCACCAGCTCCAAATAAATATTTCAGCAAAATCTCATCAAAGCCTCTCGTGCGCCGTACCGCGCTGCTCGAGCCGGAGGAGAGCGCGGAGCGGGATGGCACAGCTGGGACGGGCAGCGGGGCCACCCCCGGCCCCCCACCTCCTCTGTACACCCCCAAAACAGCAGCGAGTGCCCCCCACCCTCATCGCATCTCATCCCTGACAAAAAGGGGATCCCCGAGGAGCATCCCTGGCTCCCTGACCTACCCAACCCTACCCATGCCAGCCTCCCCGCCCTGTGCTCCTCTCTCAAATCTGGAAGGGACCTTCAAAGGTCATCTAGTCCAACCCCCCTGCAAGGAACAGGGATATCTCCAACACTCCCAACTACAGGGATAACTCCCCCCCACTCCCCCCCATTTAATCTCACTGACAAAAACGTGACTCTTCTGTCTGGTCTCGACTTGTTCCAGCTGCTTCAGCAAAACATGAGGACCACGAACCCCAGCTCTGGGAAACGTCCCCTCTCAGTGGCTCGTAACCGGAGAGCAGATCGCCTCTTAACCATGCTGCCAGACTATGAGAGCAGCACCCTAACTAAAGCAAAAAGTAACAAAAAAAAAGGAAAATAAGAATAAAAATCCAGCAACACTGACAGAGGCGTCAGACCTGGCGCTGCACTTGCTCTCCCATCTATGGAAACGTTAGCAAGAGGAGGGCTGGGGGAACCTCGTGGCAGTACCTCTGCAGGACGTGGCACCAGCTGCAGTTGAAGGTCAGCTCCGAAGTCACACACGTTTCACAGCTCCGGTGCTGGAGACACGCTGCAAAAGAGAGAGGAGAGACATCCCAGTGACGTGCCAGCACCTGCACGGGCACGAGGGAGCGTGTGCTGGAGGTGGTGGCATGGGCAGGACCAGCACGGGCAGATGAGCCTCCAGCCCAGCCGCTCCCGCCAGGGACCTGCGGGACGAGGCAGCACCTTTCTGGGAGCAGATTCCCAATCCATCCATAAACGTCTTCCCATTCTCTTTAGGTGGGAAGTAAAGCACATCTGAGACTTACGCCATCTCTTGCTGTACAGAGGGTGTTTCTCAAGGAAGGACACAACACAAATAGTTTCATAGAATCATGGAATGGTTTGGATTGGAAGGGACCTCAAAGATCACCCAGTTCCAACCCCCTGCCATGGGCAGGGACACCTTCCACTACACCAGGTTGCCCAAAGCCTCATCCAACCTGGCCTTGAACACTTCCAGGGATGGGGCATCTGCAACTTCTCTGGGCAACCTGTTCCTGTCTGACCCTCTGTTGCTATGTCCACACTGATTAGCTCTTCAAGAACATCTCTGTGCTGCAGAGGATGAGCTGCTGGCAGAGCACCATCACTTGCTCGTCACCCTGTCTGGCAACGATGGCCAAGAGGGCTCGTCTGCACCAAAAGCCAAGGGAACCAGCAGTTCTAACGAGCCCTTCGGGAGCCCCAGCAGCCCACAGCCACTGACCCGGTGCTGTGAAACACCTGAACAGCAGCACTGTCCCTGTCCCACTGAGCACATCTCTGTCCTGACCCACAGCCCCATCACTTCTCCACCCACCAGCTCCCTGTTCTGCCCCTCACACTGGAGCTGCTGCCCCGGACTGGGGCTGCCCGCACGCTCCTGGTGTCCCGGTCCCCTCCGCTCGCCCGGCCTGAGCTCTTCCCGAGCAGCTGCTACATGGAGGCAGCCAGTGAGCCCTGACCTCTGCAGAAGAGGCAGAGGCCAACCCAGTTCATCCACTTCTGACCTGAATAAGGCTAAAAATTAACCCCCCAGAAGAAAAAGTGGCGTCTAGCTCTCTCTAGCTCCGTGGCTCCTCTGCAGATATCACTCCCAGCTGCTGGGGAGAAACAAACCAGCAAGTCTTAAGGAGAAAAAATAGAATTATTGCAGAATGCTTATTTATGATCTGCTTCGCAGTAACCCTGCCTGCTGTTAAAATTGTCATAAAATACCCTGGGCAGACCGTTTCAAGGCATAACCTTGGTATCTCCGTGACAGATTTACTCTCCGCTCTGTATTTACGGGCTGCACGACGACTCTGCCTCGTGCGCGCGCGCCCTCGGATCCGAACGCTAAAAATGTATCGAACAGGAGCCTTAAGAGATTTCATCGGAGCGCGGAGGCGTAGAAAATGTCTTGTAGGCAGACCCGAAGTGAACCAGTGCCCAGCAAAACTAGCTGCAGCTCCTGGCGCGAAGAGAAGGAGTTTCAGTGGCTGGACTGGTGGGGAGAGCCGCCAGCGCAGGAAATACGGAATAAAAGCTCTGGGGCGAGGGGGGATCTACCCGTGAGCAACACGAGCCATGGACTGAGCTGCGCGGGGTGCTGGCACAGCCTGGGACCATGGCACATCGCTGCCAGGGACACCGCGGCAGGACCGGTCACTTGGCCGAGGAGCGCTGAGCGGATCAGGTGGGGTGTAATTCCCTTCGGACCCCTCCGTTACCAGCTTCTCCCACGCCAGCTGAGCTTTGCTGCATCCCAGGCTCCCGTTCCAGCTGCGGAGCAGCCAGGCTGGCGGGCACGTGGGATGTGCCGTTGGCTGAGGTTGACTCTGTGTTGGCTGAGGTTGACTCTGAGCTGATGGATCCAGACAGGGCTGCGTGTACGGGACGTTCAGCGACAGCCACGCACAGACCTTCTCGCAAAGGCAGAACGAGTTGGGGAGCCCAGAGTGGGGGGGATGAGCCGTACCCCGGCCAATAGCCCACCCGCCCTCCACAGCTCCAGCGCATGGCAGGATCCCAGCGTCGGGTGATGGATGGCAGCCACCCACCCTTCCAGCCCACGCTGGACCTGCCTCCTCCAGCCTCAGCTTCCCCTTCGGCTACAGACACGAGGTTGCCATAGCTGTTGGGTGAAACCCCCGGAAGGAACCACGACCAGCCCGCCCGACTTACTGGGCAGCGGGGTGAACTCCACAGCTGACATGTTGGTGATCTTGCTGGTGTCCAGCTCCACGCGGTGATACTCGTAGATGGTCCGGCGGCGCGACTCTGAAAGGCAGAGTCTTGGCTTCAGGTCGGGCACGAAGCTGCCCCGCGCGCCCATCCCTGCCCTGCGGAGGGGTTCGCCCCGCGCCCGGATCCCAGCACCCACGGGGAAAGCGCGTGGGGCTGCTGCTGACCCCCCGCTGAGAGGCAAAGGTGGCCCCAGGTCTTGGGGTGGTTTGGGCTGCAGAAGGGGCATGGGAGGTGCTGGGGTGAGGAGGGGTCTCAGGGCACCGATGCTCTGCCGTGTTTTGCTGGGAAGAGCTCGGAGCTCCCCATTCCCCTCTCCCTGACCAGAGGCTCCGGAGATGGCCGCGGTCCAGTCCAGCATCGCTCTGAACACGAAGCTGCACAACACATTGCTGGCCAGTGACTCACAGGGCTGCGAGCCTCCC